GAACAAATTAACGTTTTCCGATTTTCTTCCGGTTTGGCTGGTATAGGGACTTTTTTTTCTTCTAGGAAGCGTATAATATTTTCCAGAGCACATGATTTTATTCCACGTGTTTTTTCATTGCTTTCTATTAAAACTTGCCACATTTTTTCGTGCAAGGCATGTGCTCGTGATGTTAGAGCTTTGGCCGCTAGATTTGCTGACCTGCGTAGTAAAAGCCAAGTAAAGTCGTGAAAACGCGCTTCTATCCTGAGCGCATCAACGTGTGTTGCAGTAAGCAGTCCTGACGCCGTCCTAAAACATTTATTCATTGCCGCATTCACCTTATTTTTGTTTTTTTCAGAGGTCCATCCATAAATAGTCAATCCGTGTTGGATTATGCCTTCGGTCATAGCACGACAAATAGAAATTGCAGTGTCAATATGCGGACCTTTCTTCCGCGTGCAAAATATTTTCAGCATGTTGTTAACTTTTTTCAATTTGTCGCAAATTGTATTTACGTGGTCATTCCACAACGCATTTCTGGAGAAAGTTAACCCTAGTATGGTAATTTTCGATTTAAGTTCCATATTTTCATTTCTTGTTTTTAATTTCGATGTGTCGCATTTATATTTCCTACAGATGTGCATAGCTTCCGCTCCTGTAGCTTTAGCCGATTGCTGAACTTTATCGTTGAGCTCATTCAAACGTTCGCTTATTTGCTCTGGTGTACCTGAAGAGAGCGCAAAAATGTTATCGGCATATATGCCCACATAGTCCACACCGTTTGTGTTTCTGATGAGTTTGATTAGAGTGTTGCAGTAAGCAGTGTACAGTATGACCGACAGAGGAGAGCCTTGTGGTAGGCCATTATCTAAATTGAGGATTTTTGACAGGAAGCCGTCTACACGGACTGAGATTCTTCTATGGGACATGAAGCAGTGAACCATTTTTATTATATTCATTCATTCATTCATTCTGTTCCTTTATAATGACCGATAATATAACCCTATCAAACGCCTTTTCTATATCCTCGGATAGTAATACACTGTGCATATTCATTTTAAAGTTGGTTTTTATATTTGATTCTATTGTGTGACACAATGTGTGAACACCGTATTGTGGTAAAAACCTGTGTTGTTCTGGAAGGAAACATGTTTTACAACTTTCTCTAATTCTCCGAGCTAGAATTTTATCAAAAACTTTGGCCAGCACCGAAATAAGCGAAATAGGGCGATAGTCCTCCAACATATTTGGACTTTTGTCTGGTTTGGTTATAGGCGATAAAATCGCTAGCTTCCAATAATGTGGGTAGATTCCAGTTTCAAGGATTTTAGTATATAAACGGCATAACCAAATTTTCAGCGAAATGTTTGTGTTGGATCATGGTATACGTTATTTTATCAATACCTGGTGTTATGCCTTTTGAGATATTTGTCGCTTCATTGAGATCATCAATTGTTACTTCTCCAAACTTGTAGGATAGGTTGAGGTTCTCAGGTATGGGGTCTATGTTTATAATTCGCTTCCTCCTTATTAATTCAGGGTTGAATGATTGGTCTGACCCAATTGAGCTCCATACTTCTGCAAATTTATCTGCTATCATCTGCGGGTGAGTTATGCATTGATGTCCTGAAAATATGGGAGGAAAATTTATATTTTGTTTAGATCTTATTTTTTTTAATTTTGGTCCATAATGTTCTTGTGTCAGTTGATGGGTTGAGAGAATTAACAAAATTCTGCCATGTGTCCTTTTTGGCTTGTTTGCATGCTCGCCTAACTTGTGCACATAACTTTTTGTAGTTAATTACATTTTCCTGTTTCCGTTTATTTTTGTAGGTATTCCATGCTGTATTTTTTAATCGGATCAGTTGTGCTATCTCGGCGTTAAACCATATTGGGCTATTTCGTAGTATAGTGGGTTTTTTGACAGGCATCGATTCATTTGCTGATTTTCTGATAATTTTCTTTATGTTTGCCGCCTCTTGACAAGTAAGATTTCGATCATTTGCAAATTCCTCTCATATACTTCCATTTCGTTTTGTAGTTTGTGATCCCCATAACGTGTTATGCGAATTTAAGTCACCTAGCACGAGGTGATGTCCAGTGCTGTATTTGGGTATACTATCAAGCAACTGCGTCGTTAGGTACATGTCTGTTTCTTTGTATATATTTGTTAGCTGCAGGTCGGTCAAACCATGCACGGTTATGGATTGATGAAGAAGGTTATTGGAGGATATAATATGATTTGATACACTTAAAGTGTTTAAAGCTACACCTGATTTGGTGTATTGGTAATCTTTATTGTGGTGAAATATCTTATAAAGGGGTAAGTGTAACAGATTTAAATTTTTTTGCACAATGTGTGTTTCATGTCAGGTTTGTGTTTCGTAACTAATAATTCAAGTGCATATTTATTATTGACAAATCCCTGTATATTCCATTAGAGAATCGAAAAGTTTAAACCTATATCCATACCTTGGGTTAAGCTTTAAATAGTGTGTAGTATTATTTATTCGTGGTCTGAGTTTTCGTTGTAATGTAGTTGTGTTGGAATGAAGTAGTTGTTTGGGTTTGAGTGGAGTAATTGTTGTTAGAAGAAGATGAAGATGTATGCGGAGTGGAATTGTTAAATGTTGCGAATGTATTTGAATAATGTTTTTTGTGTACTTCTGTAACAGATGACATTTCTATGTCACTCATTCGTGTCGGTGAGTCTATTTCTTTTCTTTTTGTTTCAGTTGGGTTTCGAGATTAGGTCGGAAGGTAAGTGTATTGTTTTTGGTTGATATTGATTTCGTGTGTTCTATTTTATTGCTATCTGTGTTTGAGTGTGATGTTTCATTTTGAGAGGGTTTATTGTTCAATGTTGATGTTGTTGGAGGAGTATGATTTTTATTTGTTTCGCTTTGATTTGGTATGGAATTTTTAACCACTTCGGCCAGGTTTACTTGTTTGTGTTTTTATGGATTCTAATTGGTATGCGCTTGGATTGCTGTTATATACTTTCCATGCGTCTCGAATTGTACATCTACGTTAGATTTTTATTTTGTTGACCGTTTTGTGTTTAATAAAGCTAGGGCAAGAGAAATCATCAGAGGTATGTGTATCGTTATTACAATTTAGAGCTCTCGATTTTGTTCGCACATTTTCAAACAGCCCGGGTATATAAGCAGCGAGTACTCGCACACTTGTTCAATGCTCGTTACTCGAAAATTGTCGGGTTTTTTCGAGTAATTTGAGCAATGTTTTTTTATTATATTGACATTTTTGGTAGAGACTTTTAAAATTTTTCAAATTATTGATATATAATGCAAAGATTGTTAAATTGGTATTTAATAATATAATTTATTTAACATGAATTAGAAAGCAGCTGCTGACAAACACAATTTACAAATTTTCTTTTGTTTATGAAATTGTTCAAAAACACGAAAATTTTGAACAAACATTTGAGCAGTTGAGCAATGAACGAGTTTCGAGCGAGTATCGAGCAATGCGAATAGCTAGGGTATCTAGAGCTCTATTACAATTTACGCAGAATTTTTGCGAACAGTTATCATGTGGAGGAGGTATAGCGCATTGCTTGCAGAGTTCAATGTTCTTACATGTATTTTTGGTGTGCCCTAATTTTTGGCAGTTTTTGCATCTCATCGGATTCGGAATATGCTCGCGAACATGGACTCGTTCCCATCCTATGTGAATTTTTTCAGGTCTACGTATAAGGTCAAAAGTGACGATGGCTGCACCTGTTGGTGTTTCCGTTCCGTTTATCAATTTGGATAATTTTTTAATTTCGATGACTTTTTGACCGGCCAATCCTTCAACTAATTCTGTTTCCGTAAGGTGAATTATGTTTTTTGAAAAAATTCGGCCTTGAGTGGAGTTCATGCTCCTGTGGGAAGTGATTTTCACTGGTACTAAGTCGATGTGTGTCGCTTTAATAAATTATCAGCTGCCTTTAAGTTTCTAACTTTGATAAGTAGGTCTCCAGATTTAAGTTCTGTAACTTCCGTATAATCGGTGCTTATGTGTTTGAGCCCTTTTTCAATTTGAAATACATTGTATGAAGCTAATGGACGTGTTACCTTCGCTATACCAGTAGCAGTTTCTCCAATTTTTTGACCTGTTGATGAAGCAATTAGATACCGTGGAATATGGTCGTCGTTCTGCGTAGTTTCCGGAAGTGGTGTGAAATCATCAGTCCCGGGTATCAAGACACTTTTGCCCCCTATTTCTGAAAGCTTGTAAAACTAATTTTGAATTGCACGACCCACTCCGTTGCTTATGCCAGGATTTTAACTCTCATTCCAGCACGTTTGATATATCAGATCCGCTTTTCAGCATTAAGAAATCGATACTGTCCTCTCTCAATAAATTAATCATTAAAATAAAGACATAAAATCGGCTGATGAATTTAGTTCTGTAGCTGAACAGTTTTAGTCTCGACACTTAACAAACTCCTGCCTATCGTGACTCGGCGCAAAAATTGAAAATACTGGTTCCATACGTCATGCGGACTGCGCCCCTCATGCGGATGGGCGGGAATGGAGGGTAAAAACCGTTGGAATATTATTATTAGTGGTATTCATCTAAACCGATNTTTGTGTTTAATAAAGCTAGGGCAAGAGAAATCATCAGAGGTATGTGTATCGTTATTACAATTTAGAGCTCTCGATTTTGTTCGCACATTTTCAAACAGCCCGGGTATATAAGCAGCGAGTACTCGCACACTTGTTCAATGCTCGTTACTCGAAAATTGTCGGGTTTTTTCGAGTAATTTGAGCAATGTTTTTTTATTATATTGACATTTTTGGTAGAGACTTTTAAAATTTTTCAAATTATTGATATATAATGCAAAGATTGTTAAATTGGTATTTAATAATATAATTTATTTAACATGAATTAGAAAGCAGCTGCTGACAAATACAATTTACAAAACTCGAAAATTTTGAACGAACATTTGAGCAGTTGAGCAATGAACGAGTTTCGAGCGAGTATCGAGCTATTCGCATTGCTCGATACCCGGGTATCTAGAGCTCTATTTAGAAATGATGTGACTGGTATGACTGCTAAAAGACCAATTAGAGCTGAAACTTACACCAAGGTCTTTGATTTCTTGGACTTTTTGAAAATGAGTTTGAGAGATTACATAAGACGTCGAAAGAATATTGTGACTTTTGGAAAAAGTAACTTGAAAACATTTTTTAATATTCAGAGAAAGGCGAGAGCTGAGACACCAGCGGTGTAGAATATTAATCCCGGACTGAAGTCTTAGCGCATCATGCGCATTTTCAATCAAAGCAAAAATTTTTAAATCGTCAGTGTTGGCTTTCATATAAACTGTGTAATATTGTTTTTGATGTGAACCTTGGGTAATACCGTCCTTTTATGTAAACCCTGTGTAATATTATTTCGATGTTAACCTTTTATCAATGTACCACCCCTATCCCTGATCGATAAATGGCAATTAGTTATCGATGTGCGACAGAAATCTAGGAGCACTAAGCCATTTGCGATCTGGAAATAGAGGGAAACACACGAAAGTGTGAGTATTTAATTTATCGTAATTTATCTGACATAATTTTGTAAATCCTTATAGGAAATAAAACTCATCACCACATTTTCACTTGTACGTAATTGCTGGTGTTTTATTTACCCCCTCACCAGATCGGGAATCAACATTTTTTATTTCACTTTCGTAACAAGGAAAGTGGCGGAAGTGAGCTGCATGTTGGGTTAGCTGGACCCCCGCGCGGTGCGCTGCATTAAGACTACCGAGGCTGTGTATAGCCCAGCGAGAATAATAAGAGGTTTAGCATCGGTTAGAAGTAGAAGCAAGGTGGATTTCGGTAAGTGCCTGTGAGTTATTGATTTGGCGTTAGGGTTCGTAGTGGGTCGTTACCATAACCTAAAACTGTGAGTCCAACTTTTGAAAACGTGGAGCGAAGCCATTTTGTTGGGACCTTCGACACTGATTCGTTGTTAATAAAATGCCTACTACACGTTCGACAACGAGTAAGGAAAGGGAGGGCGATAGTAACGACGAGCTGAACAATACTGTTTGTGAGCATCCGGCAGGAAATTCGCAAGGGGAGTCGACGATTGAAATGAGGCTAAACGAAATTATGATGCAGATGAAAAGCTTGCAAGACGAGATGCAACGTATAAGGCAACCACAAAGCGTTATTCAGTTAGAAGCGAATCAAATAACGAATACAGTCGATTCGGAAAGTATAGGTGTAATTACTACGGCATCCAGCGAAGTTGGCCACTCTCAGCACAATTCCAGCATGGGGAGAGCACATAAATTGTATGATTTACCTGAGTTTGATGGTCGTCCGGAAGATTGGCCAATGTTTAAAGAAACGTTTGCGATGACAACGGCGGAGTATCAATATAGCAATCCGCAAAATATGATGCGATTACAAAGGGCGATAAAAGGAAGGGCTCGCGAAGCTGTTGAATGTCTGTTGATTCACAGTAGAAATGTCCCGCAAATTATGAGCACCCTGCAGGAATGTTTTGGAAGGCCTGAGTTGTTGGTGAAAAGTCAAATAAGCCGAATAAGAAGCATTGCGCCGATATCTGAGAACAGGATAGAGCAGCTAATAACCTTTGCAACAAAAGTTCAAAATTTGTCGTCATTTCTCCAAGCAGCTGAGTGTGACCATCACCTTTCGAATCCGACACTTATGGAAGAGCCTTTGATGAAGTTACCCGTGCAAAGACGAATAGAATGGGCACGACATACAGCATCAATCGTTCCAAGGCCAACTATTTGTCATTTTAGCACTTGGTTGCAGGAGCTTTCTAGAATCGTGAGTACTGCGTGTTCGTTTTCGAGCTTAGAGCCACGTCCAAATAGGGTCGAGGGGCGTACTAGATTTTTTTATGCAAATGAAACTAACGCTAGCAGTAACAGAAACGATAGGTGTGATGCTTGTTCTGAGAAGCATACGCTCAGCAAGTGTAATAAGTTTTTAGGCATGAATTATGTTGAAAGATGGCGGTTGGCTCGTAGCAAAAAAGTTTGTTTTAATTGTTTAAAGGGTCACCATCGTAGTAATGCTTGCACGGAACAGCATGAATGCAATAATAGTGGGTGCACGCGTAGAGTCCATAGTTTGCTTCATGAGACACATGAGAGAAATCGTTGGCAGCGGAACAATTAGGCGATGCAACAGACACCGCAAGTAGGATTGCAGAAAGAAGCAGAGCAGCAACAACAATTAGAGCCGCAGTCTCAACAGGTATTTACGAGCACAATTGGGTTCAGTCCACTGATGAAACTTATTTTTAAATACTGCCAGTGGTACTATATGCTAAGGGGAAAGAAATTAAAACGTTTGCATTCTTGGATGAGGGTTCAGCGATATCCTTGATTAACTGCGATTTGGCAAGGCGTCTCGGCTTAGAAGGAAAAAGCGAAACGTTGACATTGCAGTGGTTTTAAAATGCGACCGTAACAGAAGTCTCCCAGCGAGTAGACATGCATATTTCAGGTATCGGGAAGAACCGAAAGAGATTTTTAATGCAAAATGTTAGAACGGTATCTAATTTAAAGTTGCCAAAACAAACAATTAATTTTACAGACTTGCATTACAAACATCGAAATTTGACGGTTAGTCAGTACGCTAACGCAGTGCCCGAGTTGCTGATTGGTTTAGACAACGCGCATTTAGGAATTCCTAAACGAACGGCTAATGATGGGAGCCGAGGGTATGCAGTTGTGCTAACGAAATTAGGATGGGTCGTTTATGGAGCAAGAGGCATGCAATCGACCAAGGACCATCAATACACGTTTTTCGCGAATATAGGGGACAATCAGGATGACATGGAAAGGCTGGTGAACGACTATATCGTAAACGAAAACATGTACGTAAAGGATGTGCAGTATGTTGCAGAGGCGACGGAAATCAGTAAGGCGAAGCGCATACTTGAAGCTACAACTAAGCGAGTTGACGAGTCACGGTTTGAAACAGGCTTGCTATGGAAAAACGAAAACATTGAGTTACCAGATAGTCGGAAAATGGCCGAACAGAGGTTTTATATGTTAGAAAAAAAGTTTGAGAACGATGTCAACTTGAAGAACGCTTACACTCAAATTATGGCACAGTACGAAAAAAAGAGTTACTCACGAAAGCTAACCAAAACTGAAGCTGCTGAAGAAGAGTATCGCACTTGGTATTTACCTCACTTCGGAGTACATAACCCCAACAAGCCTGGTAAATTGCGATTGTCTTCGATGCTGCAGCGAGAGTACAGACGGTGTCCTTAAACTCAGTATTAATGTGCGGACCAGACTTAACGCAGCCATTAGCAGCTGTATTGATGAAGTTTAGACAAAAGCCAGTAGGAGTATGTGCGGACATCACCGAAATGTTCCACCAGGTGATGATTCGAAAAGAAGATCAGCAAGCGCAGCGTTTTCTCTGGAGGACTCAAAGAGATAAGCCATTGGAGGTGTATGCGATGAGCGTTATGATATTCGGAGCAACCTGCTCACCTTGTTCAGCACAATTCGTAAAAATTAAAAACGCGGAAGGTTTTAGAAAACAATTCCCGAAGTAGTAGCTGCCATAATTGAGAACCACTATGTCGACGACTTTGTGCATTGTTTCTCTAGTGAAAAGGAGGCGTTCAACATAACTAAACGAGTTGTAGAAATTCATAAAAATGGAGGTTTCGAATTGCGAGGATTCGCCTCCAATTCCAAACTCATTACGAATATGAACGAAAGTGAAACCATGTCATCCATCGTTAATCTTGACAGAGATAATGCGGATTTATTCCAAAAGGTACGCGGTATGTATTGGGATACCGACAACGACGTCTTCAAGTTCGTCCTATCGTTTGGTTAAGTGGATCCTGCTCTATTGAAAGGAGATAGAAGGCCAACGAAACGCGAGGTGCTAAAAACCACTATGTCACTATTTGATCCCTTTGGAATAGCAGCCGGTTATACACTGGAGGCTAAGTTAATACTGCAAGCTATTTGGCGTGAGCGTACGGAATGGGATGAACATATATCATGTGGCGTGTATGAAAGCTGGAAGAGTTGGTTACGGCTGTTGAAGGAGCTTGCGCAAATAAGCATTCGTCGTTGCTATGGTACTTTCTTCTCAGATGCAAGTGAAGCAGCTTACGCAGCAGTCGCATATTGGAGGATTCCAACGGAGTTAGGTAACGCTTCATTGCGGGGAAAACTAAATGTGCACCTCTTAAGTTGGTATCGGTGCCACGGCTGGAGCTACAGTCAGCAGTGCTTGCAACACGTCTCAAGCAAAGCCTAGTAAGTTACCACAATTATAAACCGGCTAGAGTATTCATGTGGAGCGATTCGAAGACGGTCATATCTTGGATCAAATCAGATTATAGACGCTATAAGGCCTATGTCGCGCACAGGGTGAATGAAATTCTGGAAGGGAGTAGCATTAGCGAATGGAGGTGGCTACCTAGTGCGACAAATCCGGCTGACTTTGGCACACGGCGAAAGAACGTAAAACGCGAATCGTTTTGGATAAGTGGCCCGAAATTCCTTACGCAGGACGAATCAAATTGGCCTCCGAATGAAACATGCCATAATACTGATCTAGAAATACGCAGCAAATATCCAACCATTTTAATAAGAAATGTTTTTACACCTTTTAAAAAATTTTCATCACTTATTCGCTTAAAAATAGTAGCCTGGGTCCTCCGGTTCCTGGGTAATTGCCTAAAAGATTAAGTGAGACATATTTATGGAGTCCTACGCATTAACGAGCTAAGACGAGCTGAAGAGGTAATATTTCGAAGAACGCAAATGGAAGCCTTCCCTGAGGAATATGGTGCACTGAGGGAGGGAAACCCAATAAAGAAGAGCAGTGCGTTACTAACATTTAGTCCGTATATAGATGGTGTTGGGTTGATGCGAGTAGGAGGGCGAATAGATGCGGCTGAAGCAGTTCCCCTATATACACGACGTCCTGTTATCTTACCGAGAGAACACTACGTAACTCAACTAGTAATCGATTTTTACCATAGACTGTGGAAGCATCAGAACGAGAGTTTAATAGTAGAAATACGGCGGAAGTATTGTATACCACGAATTAGAACAGAAGTGCGACGTGCTGGAAAAAGGTGGCAGGTCTGCAAAAACACAAGAACAGCCCCTTCTCCGCCGTTGATGGGCCAATTGCCGTTGGATCGTCTAACTCCGTTTGTTAGACCTTTTTCGTATGCGGTCTGGATTATATGGGACCGTTCAAAATAGTCATAGGGCGACGTAGTGAGAAGCGATGGATTGCACTTTTCACGTGCCTGACAATACGCGCCATCCACTTGGAGATCGCCAAAGATCTTTCCACAGACAGCTGCTTAATGTGCATCCGTAACTTTATGAATGGACGAGGAATACCTATTCGAATACGCACGAATAATGCAACGAATTTCGTTGGTGCAGATAATGAACTAAAATGGCAACGCATACAGTTCGACAATGATAAAATTTCTGATGCACTTTCGACCAAAAATATCGAATGGATCTTCAACTGTCCTCTAAATCCCCATGCTGGTGGGTGTTAGAAGCGTCTAGTTCGCAGTGTGAAGAGAGGCATTGGTCACCCGCTCTATAATGAAAATCTACAGGAGCACACGCTATACAGTCTCATGTGCGAAGCTGAAAATATTGTGAACTCGAGGCCACTGACTCACATTCCCCTTGATAGTCCCACTGTTGAACCACTAACCCCGAATCACTTTCTCATAGGTACCCCAAATACTGAGCAGACACCGCACCCTCATGATGAAAAACATCGAGCTACCCGGAAGCAGTGGCATAGAGTGCAGCAAATGCAGCAACGGTTCTGGAGGAAGTGGATGACGGAATATCTTCCTGACTTTACGCGCAGACCGAAATGGCATCAACCCGTAAAACCACTGGAAGTCGATAACCTTGTTCTCGTATGCGACCAGAATACCCATCGTTCAATGTGGCCCTTGGGTCGCATTACCAAAGTGTTTCCTGGGAAGGATGGCCAAGTAAGAGCAGCGGAAATACGAACGTCGACCGGTATAATCAAACGCCCGGCCTGTATTCTAGCCAAATTAGAAGTTGGTGAATCTGGGTAGATTCACGGGGGCGGGGATGTTGGCTTTCATATAAACTGTGTAGTATTGTTTTTGATGTGAACCTTGGGTAATACCGTCCTTTTATGTAAACCCTGTGTAATATTATTTCGATGATAACCTTTTATCAATGTACTACCCCTATCCCTGATCGATAAATGGCAATTAGTTATCGATGTGCGACAGAAATCTAGGAGCACTAAGCCATTTGCGATCTGGAAATAGAGGGAAACACACGAAAGTGTGTGTATTTAATTTGTCGTAATTTATCTGACATAATTTTGTAAATCCTTATAGGAAATAAAACTCATCACTACATTTTCACTTGTACGTAATTGCTGGTGTTTTATTTACCCCCTCACCAGATCGGGAATCAACAGTCAGCATACAGCAAAAATTTAGCAAATGAAAAACAAGAACTCACATAATTTATAAATAATACAAAGAGTAAGGGATATAAAATGCTACCTTGAGGAACCCCCGATGAGGCAATTAAAGATTCCGAAGAACAACCATTAACAGAGACCACACAGCGCCTATCCGACAAATAAGATTTGAGCCATTGCAAAAATACTGAGTGGAAACCCAGTGAGGCTAGCTTACTGACCTACAAACTGTGCGAAACTCTATCAAATGCTTTGGCAAGATCAGTGTAAACGCAGTCGACTTGGAAACCGTTCGAGATAGCTGCAATACAATACTCACTAAAGACGCCTAGATTAGTTACCGTAGATCGGTTGGGGACGAAACCATGTTGATTGGGTGAGACTAGACTTTTTGTCGCGAAATACATTTTCTCCTTGACGATAACTTCAAAAAGTTTGGAAATTGTTGAAAGTTTCGAAATGGGTCTGTAATTACAGACATCACTTTTGCTGCCACTTTTAAGAATAGGGGTAATTGAAGTCAATTTCAATTCATCATAAAAAATACCGGAGGCTAGAGACCTATTGAAAATAATTTTTGAAGGAGAGATCAAAGCAGGACACTTCATAAAGTTTGAAGAGAGCCCATCAATATCTTACGAAAGTTTAAGGGAGCCAAAACTAGTAGAATTCACACTAGCAGAGAAACTAGAATCCACAGTAGCGACATTAGCACTAAAAAATGCAGCAAATAGATTTGCAACGTCAGCTGGAGTGGAGGCACATTTATCTTCAAAAAATACAGCTGAGGGAATACTAGAGTTGTTCTTCTTAGACTTAATAAAATGCCAGAAGATTTCGGATCTTCTCTGATATTGGATTCAATACCTAAGATATAATTTCTGTAGAGGAATTTATTCAAGCAGTTAAACTTTTTAAGATGGACCTGATATTTCTCAAAGAAAAACTGACTTCCAGAGGCCTTAAACTTATTATAAAATTTGTTTCTAAGATTCTTAAGTTTTTTAAAGTCACGATTATACCACGGTAATTTATAGCGTCTTTTTCTAATTATTGGAATGAATTTAAAACAAAAATCAGAAATTACAGATTTGAAAGTAGCGAAGCATTTAGCTACATCGGGGCAAGAGAGTAAGCTTTCCCAATTTAATTCACCCAGTAATCTATTTAACTTGGGATAATCGCAGGCTGCATAATTAAACTTAGGTTTGTCACCAGCATTGAAAGACGGGAAT